TAGTGTACTTATTTAATGTAATAAAAGTTTACTAAACAAGCAGATTTGGCTCCTAACTTTTTTAAAAATTGTTGTAATGTTCATATTTGGCTCTTTGACTAATAAGTTTGCCGACCGCTGCTTTAGTTCAATATTTTTACTTTATTTAAGTCATGTCATAAGGCATTTTTAGCGCAATTTTCGCATTCTTAAGGGCATTTTTTGCACTTTTTAAGGGCATTAATTGAGATTTTTTGGGTCATCAAAATCCGGGCTCTAATAATTACTTATTATTTAATAAATATTAAGGTATTTAAATTTAAACATTAATATATTTTTCATAAAACTATTGTTACACAATGTACTATTACTTCAATAAATGCTTAAAATCTAAAATAAATGTACAAACACAATATCTAATAGTTTTATTTGAATTAACAGAAAATTACTTTTATGGGGGTCGATGGAGATTTCGAAAAATTATACAGGGGTCGATGATCAAAAAAGTTTGGCGACCCATGCTCTAATCTATCCTCAGCAGATATTAAGATATCGGATGTAATGTTATCAACGAATAAATTAATATCGGATATAACAAATATTTCGGACATTCACCAAAGCGACTATGTGATTGTTGACATTCACCCGTGAATGTCGACATTTTCTTGATTTCGGTCATTCACGGTCATGTCACACCAACAACTTCATATTGGGGGACTAAAAGGAATGTCATTCAAAACTTTGTTCCTAAAAAATATTTATAAAGCCACTTACATCTTCAAAAAACAATGTTTTGGCTTCATTCTGTATTTTGGTCAGTATTTATTCTGAATTTCTTCATTCTGTATTTGTTCATAGTACTGAAACTGATTTTTGTTTCGTTATGCTATGATTTCGATTGTATTTAAACACAAACATAAGAAAACATACATATTTTGGATCAAACTTTGAATCGTAATAGCTTTTATTTCCAAACTGAAAACAGTTTTTTAAAAAAAAAGTTGTGATTGCTGTATTACGATCACTGGTTACCCATTGGCCAAGTGGTTTTTTTCTGGTTTGACTCCGATAAACGTAGGCGACATTTGAAATAGTGGATTGCAAAAACTGTCTCAATTGATGTTTGTCGTCGAATTTGTTTTCAAATCCCGGCTATATACGTGTTTCAAGACTTTCTGTGTCTTATACGTGTTTCACAAAATACTTTTCCTTCTTCAGTATTCATATTTATATTAAAATCACCGTCAGGACAGTAATTATAAGCTAATAATAAAAAGAATATGAAAAACTTTAAATTATTATTATGTAAATACATTAAGAATGACTGCTGGTGAAAATAGGAAGAAAAAAAGAATTATAAAAAATTATCAAACAGCAACGGTCGCCATAGCAACGCATGCAACGACGACGCATGCGCACTATTTACTATTACTCTTGAACACACATGAAAAGTTTGACGTCCAAATTAAGTGCCCACACCAGAAAAGCCAAAACAAAGACCCATTTTGTCAATGTGTTTTCAATGTTAATATTTCCTTAAAAAGATTTTTTTGATTTTTAACTATCTCTTAACAATCGATAATTGAAAAAATATTGTATAATTATGCAATGTTTTCTATTGTATTTAAACGCTAACATAAGAAAACCTACATATTTCAGTTCAAACTTAGAATCCGAAAAGTTTTTATTTTCAAGCTGGAAACGATTGCAAAAAACAGTTAACGTTGTTTCATTGTTGATATTTTCTTAAGAAGAATATTTTGATTTTTAACTATCTCTTAACAACCGATAATTGAAAAAATATTGTGTAATTATGCGATGTTTTCTATTGTATTTAAACGCTAACATAAGAAAACCTACATATTTCAGTTCAAACTTAGAATCATAAAAGTTTTTATTTTCAAGCCGGAAACGATTGCAAAAAACAGTTAACGTTGTTTCATTGTTAATATTTTCTTACGAAGATTTTTTTGATTTTTAACTATCTCTTAACAATCGATAATTGAAAAAATATTGTATAATTATGCGATGTTTTCTATTGTATTTAAACACCAACATACGAAAACCTACTTATTTTAGTTCAAACTTAGAATCCGAAAAGTTTTTATTTTCAAGCTGAAAACGATTGCAAAAAACAGTTAACGTTGTTTCATTGTTAATATTTTCTTAAGAAGAATTTTTTCATTTTTTAACTATCTCTTAACAATCGATAAAGTAGAAAAAAATACTGAAAAAAAATCACTTTTAATGTATCTGCGTCACTGCATTTGCATCATCTATTAAACATCAATTTAATTAGCCTATTAGTCTGGGTGATTTGAAGAGTGTGAAAAACACTAAAAGAAGTCCTTCGAAAATCTGTTCCTAAAAAAGCAGTGATGCCACTTGCGTCTTCTAAAAACAATGTGGACGAGGTGATTTAACGTACGTAATGTTCATTTGAGTATTTAAAAAATAAATTTCGTTTTTTTTTTTTCGTGTTTTTTTATGGACATTGTTTTATCTTTTGCTAACGAAATAATTAAATTATATTTTTTGTCTTTTTCTGAAAAGATCAAGTTATAAAAATTAGAAATGCCTTAGTCACTGTTTTTATAGTCATTATTAGCATAAAATTACTAGTAAAAAGATTTGCTTAACCAAACGTAAAAAAAAAATATTTGTGGTTAAATATAGCTCTACATAGCCTATGTACAACGAAACTTAATGGAATCTTCAGTGAAATTAATTTTGAACTTAACTGGGGAAAAAAAAGTTGGTGCTAATGTAATTAAAATTTGTTTTGACTTGGAAGGTTTAATGTCCCTTGATTTAATGCTTCTAAAGATTTTATATTTTGTTATTGAAACTTTTAAGGAGAAAAAAATACTTTTCTTTTTCTCCCTTTTTTTTCAAATTTTATTTTTAAAGCATCAGCATAAATATATGCAAAATTTGCTCCCGTTTCGATTTTTATGAGAAAAAAATATGCATATATATATTAGACTACCAGATGTACAGTGTCAAAACTAAAAAGCGAATCCCCTCGACTAACTTTTGATCTAATGATCGGATTTTAATTATTCGAAGGGGTAACCTCAAATTTGGTGGCTCAGGAGATAGAGCGTTCGCCTTCCAATGAGGCGAACCGGGCTCTAATCCCAGCGATGGCTGGTCGATACGAATTCCGCATCCGGCTTGAACCGATCACATTGCTGACGTAAAATATCCTCAGTGGTAGATGGATCATGGGTTAGAATCCCCATGTCTTAGGGCTAACCGCGAGAGGTTTTCCTCTCCATGTAAAGAAAATGCGGGTTAATTCCATCAAAAAGTCCTTCAGATTGCTCCTAATATTTGATCCAGAGCCGCGATGGCTCAGGGGATAGAGCGTTCGCCTTCAATGAGGCGAACCGGGTTCGAATACCAGTCGATATGAATTCCGCATCACGCTTGCACCGACCACAGTGCTGACGTGAAACATCCTCAGTGGTAGACGGATCATGGGTTAGTGTCCCCTTGCCGTCAGGCTAACCGTGGGAGGTTCTCGTGGTTTTCCTCTCTATGTAACGCAAATACGGGTTAGCTCCATAAAAAAAGTCCTCATTGTTTTTAAAAGTATGACGACAAATTTCTCCCAATACTCGATCCAGGAGCTCCCTTGTCTTCTGGATTGGGTTCAAAATTACAAGCCTACGGAGTTGAACATTAGTGGTCATGAACTCATAAAATTGGGCTGACTGTTCAACCCAATTTTTTCAACGACGGTTATTTCATCCAGGAGTTCCCTTGTCTTCTGGATTGGGTTCAAAATTACAAGCCTACAGAGTGGAACATTAGTGGTCATGAACTCATAAAATTGGGTTGACTGTTCAACCCAATTTTTTCAACGACGGTTATTTCATCCAGGAGTTCCCTTGTCTTCTGGATTGGGTTCAAAATTACAAGCCTACGGAGTTGAACATTAGCGGTCGTGGACCCAAAAAAGTGGGTCGGCTGTTCAACGACAGTCATGAAACAAAATTAGTTGGTGAAGATGATATTTTAAAATACAAAATCAGACACAAAAACGTACTTTTTCTGAGTAAACATGGCTATTTTTTTTTTCTTTTTTGATTGATTTCGATTTTTGACCCTCGTAATTCGAAGGGTTGTCTGAATGTGGAAAATATGGTCCCTATAGTCTCCCTCAGAGCGTCACAGAGAAATTCATAGGTTTGAGGGCTATTTTTCCAATACTCCAAACAAATATTTTCGGAAAATTGTTGACCTTATAAGTTTAACTGGCATTTTCGGGGCAAACTGTATCCTTGAAACGTTAAACCGTAAAGTGCATTTTCGGGGCAAACTGTATCCTTGAAACGCTAAACCGTAACGTGCTTTTTCTGGGTAAACTGTATCCTTGAAACGTTAAACCATAACGTGCATTTTTAGGACTAACTGTATTTGTGAAACATTAAACCGTAACTTGCATTTTCAAGTCAAACTGCATCCTTGGAACGCTAAAGCGTAACGTTCATTTTCAGGGCAAACTGTATCCTTAAAACGGTAAACCGTAACGTGCTTTTTCTGGGTAAACTGTATCCTTGAAACGTTAAACCATAACGTGCATTTTCAGGACTAACTGTATATTTGAAACGTTAAACCGTAATTTGCATTTTCAAGGTAAACTGCATCCTTGGAACGCTAAAGCGTAACGTGCATATTCAGGGCAAACTGTATACTTAAAACGTTCAACGTAACAACAACTCTAAGACCACTATCCTATGGTTCATCTTTTCTTGAAGGGGTGTTCACCATATTACAGACAAAAATCATACCTCTTGGGATTTGGAGAACCTTGCTTTTCTCCAAAGGAACGTTGTGAGGCATATTTTTCTAGTGTGTTGACGATTGTAATCGAGATTACATTTGGCGAACTGATATTTCTTTACTCTTCATTTTGAAACTTCTATGCTGTATTATAACTTTTCTTGTTTTCAAAAATATTGAATCCATTTCAGTATATTTATAATAAATGTACGTTTTTTTTATCTTTTCAGAATAAAGTTGTTAATGTAGACGATACGAAAGTAAAATTACAGGTAAGTGATTTTTTAAAATTTCTTACAATTTTAACTAGTATTTTGATCTGAATAATTTTAAGGTAAAGTGATCAATACGAATTACAGTGAAACCTTCTGGAAGGACCACTTCTATGTAGCGACCACCTCTATTTACGACCACTTTTGAGAGGCACTGAATTGTTTCCATAGACTTTGCGTTGATTAAAAATATTTAGGAGAGACCATTAAAACCAGTGACCTTGCAATTATCTGCCCCAAATGCGTAAAAGGTCAAATAAGGAAACACGAAAAAACATCAAAACGAACAATTTATTAAAACAAATAAGTAGATTAAAATGTTTTCAAAATATTTGTGAGGACCTTATTTAGAGAGTTGTTTTTGACGATACTACCTCATGACCTATGAACATGCGCTATGAAGACATAGTCGTCATTTACTTTGTTTCATGGCATATACCATAATTTTTTGATGTGAGATTTGTTCAATTCTTTTTTAGATAAATTTCATTTTTTTTCTCCTGCTAACTTCAACAAAAATTTGGGAGAATCAGAAAATTTTCAGGACATTTATTGAAATGTTTAATAAGTAATGACATTTAAGGACACTTTCTTTTTTTAAGGAATTTAAGGATAATTTTGAGCCCTGTAAAACATGTCTAAGAGCACTAGTATAAAGTTCCCATTTTGAATATATCTTTAGTTTTAAATTTTAACATTCGTACCAACAATAATACGTGTTGGCAGTAAAATAAAAAACTCAGGATATTTTTAGACAAAAAAAAAATATATATATATTCTACACCATCTGGCCAAAGGTTTGTGATACGGACATTAAAATAATGTTCGTCCACCTTTTGTATCAATGAACTGGACTTTCCATCTGTTTTTGAGAGGAATAAACTTCCGAAGCTGAAACGAATGACCGCGTCATTATTCATTGTTATGTGAGATCGGGTTTTTGAGAAGGGCAGTCTCTGTGAATGAAGCCTATGCTCCACCAGTGGTCGGTGGTAGGGCGCTACAGGTAGCCAAACTACTATAGTCGCCACTTTTTTCCGTAGTTTGGAGTGCAGTGCGCTACATTTTGAAAAAAGTAGTAGTGCGTAGTGCGATACAAAAAAATCAGTAGTTTGCAGCGATTTCTAACAACTACTTTTAACGTTAGTTAAATAAACAGAGTTCAAACGCAAAAAAATTTCCAAATCGGATTGGTGCAAATCCTTTTGCGGAAAACTTACGCAATGAGAATGCCTCTGTGGCCGAGCGTTAATAAAATCTACGTCTGGGATTCGGAAAAATCAGTCGAATTGTTCCGGTGAAATCGAATTTAAATATCTGATTTTTTTTTTAAATTAGATTTCACAGGGGCTATAAAGTACGTTTTTGTGTCTGATGTCGTAACTTAAAATATCATCTGCATTAATTAATTAGCATATTTGCGGGTCACCCCCACAAGCCATTAAGATCGAGTCCTAGAATGTGAAGATCCGATCATTAGGATCAAAAGTCCATTTTTTTTGTTTTTTACACTGTACGTTATATGTTGGAGGATATAAAGAGGCAAACAAGCATACGCCTTAAAAATATATCCCACTATTCTAAATTTACGCTTTAATTTCATATCATCTAGTCTAACAACTGAGTGACCAAAATATTTTGAAATAATTTTTGCAAGTTTTTCTACATGGCATTAGTTCTCCCTTCTCGTTTTATATGCTCTTGTTTGCTACCATTTGTGTTTTATTTTGTATATGTTTGTCTTTGGCTATAGTAATACAATATTAGAAATCACTACTTTTGGAGTTTTAATCGTGTGAGCCTTTGCCTTTCGCCTCCTTTTACACCTTTTCGCTGTTATATTTCCGATTTTTATCAACTTTTTTTTTTTAATTTTATTAATTTTCCTAAAATCTCCTCTTTTTTTTTCTTTCCTTGTTTTCTTTGTATATATGTTACTGTGAATGACCAAAATCAGCGGTCGTTGACATCCACCGCTGAATGTTGACACTCACATAGACGCTTTGTTAAATATCCGAAATGTATACTAAGTCTAATTAAGTGCCACTGCCCGGTATACCCTACACAAATGTTTTTTTAAGGATCAGTGCCACTGACCGGTATACATTAGCCCGGTACTCCAAACACTGATGTTTCTCCTAATCTATCCTCAGCAGATATTAAAATATCGAATAAATATAATAATATCAACGAATAAATCAATATCAAATCGGATGTGACAAATATTTCGGACATTCGCCGAAGTAAACACATAGTCGCTTTGGTAAATGTCCAAAATATATACTAGTCTAGTTAATATATAAATCCAGTTAACTATACACCGAAGAGCCATTGCATTATGACCACCCTCCATCTATAACAATTGGCTCGCCCAGGTTTTCATGGTTTCTCGCCCAGGAACAATGTTTTCATGGGGCACATTAGGACCCATAATCCTCATAGAACAATCCCTGACGTCTGTAAGC